GATACAACAGCATACACTCAATGGAATTGATGTTTCTTATATTTTAAATTTAGATGGAAATGCCAACAATGGACTGGAGGGATGAAATGTTTCAAATGCTGGTTGCTTTTGAACGTCAGGCCATTCATTCGTTGGGAAACATAAAATTGGCATTAACGCTCAGCGGCAAGTCAATCAATCCCAATTTCAAACAGTACTTCTTACAAGTCTCTAATGCTCGGTATGTATTGTATATGTTGATCATGCCTTTCATCTTTGAATTCACACGAATTTCCATAAACATTCACAGGTTGGAAGAAGCTTACCAATACTTTGAAAACAGCTCACAGATTGAGAACAGAGTATTTAACCACAACGCTATAGATTTGTTCGGTGCAACAAGTTCCAATCCGAATGAAAGTGGAAGTCAAGCGGAAACCAAAGAATTCATTCGGAAGATCGATTGCATTGAAATTGATGACTCAAGTGATGAAGAAGGCATCAGCAGAGTGCCAAGTAGGCTGGAAAGTACTTCGGTTGAATCTGTTCGCAATTTTACAACACAGCGACCCATAACGGCTACTATTATGGGTGGTCGATTGGACCAATATGAGAGTACTGGCACTTCGGCTAATAATTATGGTGAAATTCGTATTGGTTCGACTATAATAAGAGAGCGTACGATTATTCCAGAGAGCGGTTCATTCAATAGAAATCACCAATATGGATACAATGACTTTACGGATGCAAGTGAAGATAAGTTTATCATCCCAGCGATTATTGAAAACCAAGATACGAGATTTCATAACGAAAGTCGCACGAATGATGTTCAAGATGGAAGTGCTGTTGTGAACAGACGTACTTCCACCGTCACATCTAACAAGCGTCCAAAAGTTGTCGATGGCACCGAAATCAACATGACACGAAAATCATCAGCAGAAGGTGCATCGCGTTCGACTAAAAAGTCAATTCCATCAAACCACTTGGTGACGAAGAAGCGATTCCAGTGCAAATTTTGTGAATATTCCAACAAT